AAAATAAATAGAGGACGTTCTTTTAGAACTTGGAGTTTGCTACTTACAGCCACATTTCCATTGCAGATGCGGTGAACTACGTTGCGAGCGGTAATAGCAGCGACTTTGTGGATAGGTGGGTTTTGGCGGTTGAGTGGGTGGTGTATATGGATTCCATGGTTTTACTGGACGATATGGCGGATAACCTGTCTGTCTGGTCGTGATCACTGGTGTTATGCTGGTAGTGGTCGATGGAATAAAGGGGAAAGGTTTAGCAGTTGTTGGAATAAAGGGCAACGGTTTAGCAGTGGTGGTTGTGGTGGTAGTGGTTGTTGTGTAATCAATATTCGTTACAGGCGTTGGTATTGGCTCTTCTTTTGGCGTGGTAGGCGGAGGGCTTGCTGCTGTTGTTGTTATTGGCGTTATGGTCTCCTCTGTTACAGTAATGGTGGTAGTGGGAAAACCATCCGTTGTTATCGGGGGCGTAGTGTAGATGGGTGTTTCTTTTGTTGTTGTTATTATTGTTGTTGTTGTTGGCGCATCTGTGATGGGCACACTAGTTGTTGTGGGTGGCTCAGTGTTTGCCTTTAACGTAGTCGTTTCTATTATCTCCGGCTCCAATGGATCTGGTTCGAAATCTTGCGTCAAGGCGAAATTCAAAAGCAAAGCCCCGCACAATATGAACAACATTCTCGCCTATTGAATAGATTGCAATATTGTCTTAACTTTAATTTACAATAATATTTTTATTAATTACCATTTCACTTTTGTTAAAATCTCGCGCTGTTAAATAAAAAGTCAAATAAAACACCGCCTTTTGCTATTTGTGGCGTCTTCTCGCCAACAGAACTTCTTTCCTACTGGATTGCACTACTCGTGTCATCAAATTGTATTCCCTCTGAAATATTGGCTTAAGCTCAGCGTCGCATCGCGCTGCCTGGCAGAATAATCGCGCACATGTGAACGACGAAATATGATCGTTTTCAGTCAGTCACACACTTCATACAAGTTCGTTTGTTGTTGTTGTTGTTGTTGGTGCATTGTTGTATAACCGCCAGCATTTTAGTGCAAATTCCTTCGTCATAAAGTTGATAACTCGCGGTTTAATTAATTAAACGCCTTGACATATCGGCAATGTATATTTTTCGGGCTTAAATCCAGCGGCTTCTACAACAAACATATACATAACTATACACCTATGTACATATATATGTATTTACATATGCATATGTATGTTGGTGTGGTGCGCGTATTTATTGCATAAACTATTTTTAAACACCTTTGGCTCTGGCTTTGGCTTTGGCTTTGGCTTGTAAACAATGCTGACGGAGTTGGCACCTCAGCTTCAATGGGTCTGCAACCACTTGCTGCTCTTCACCTCGAAATGCGATAGGCGTTTGTGGGCAACCGATATTCGCGTTTGACGCTCAATGTTCGGTGTATCGGTGCAAAATCGGTGAGTAATTCGCTCAATTGCATGGCTGTTTACCCGGCTAAGCTGTTGATAATCCATGTGCATGCTTATATACACACATACACACATATATATATACTTAGCCATAAGTGTGGTAAAACAAAAAAAATTATAAAAAATAAACTTTGTTTATCTATAAGTACATATGTAAGTATGTACATATTTGCTAACATATTTTCCACTAACGTTCAGTTTGGTGCCATTCTGAGTAAGTTTTACACTTGTCATTGGAAAACACCAACCAGATCTATGCTTGGGAGCTTAGCAAAAACTACGTTTAAGTGCTTACAAGTACATGGTTTTAAAAGTACGGTGATTTTTATATTTTACAAAACTACTTCAAAAGATATTTGCTTTACCCTTCAAAGTAATAGGATTCCACTGCCACGCCCACAAAACGCCATTAATCGGAAATGTATTAAGTGACACAACTAAGCCGTAAATTAAGATACAGAAATGAAATTTGGCACAACGAATCACATTAAAGAGGGGCACCTGTGGTTTGAAAACCCCCTAATAAGTTTAACTTATATATCTTCCAAAACAAATATCACCCAAATTGAAACAGGACCAACAATTTGAACCCGTTTTACTACAGTATAAAAATAGAAGAAATTGGATGATATTCGCGCCCACTCCCAATAAACGGTTTTGTTAAAAACTACTAAAAGTGCGATAAATCAATAACTAAAAGCTCTATATACAGAAAATTTTACTCTCGGAATGGTATGAGAGGGTTTTATAAGAGCCGGTGTCAAATTAGGACGCTGGGCGTGGCACCGCCCATATTTAGGTGAAACCCCATATCTCGGGATCTACTCGACCGATTTCAATCAAATTTGGGTAATATTATTCTAATATGATTACAGCACATTGCGAAAGTGGACGAAATCAGAGAAACGCCACGCCTACTTTTCATATAGCACAATTTTAAATT